AGTAGTAGTAGTAGTGAAATCAAATAAGATCAACGGAATTCTCTACTTACGCAGCGTACTTGGTGGAGAGTAAACTACAAGACACAGAAGCACTGTTGAGCGGCAAACACGCGCAAGATATCTCAACTTGCCACACTTGTGGCAAATAGATTTTTTCTGTCTACAATCAATTACTCCTTCATATCCTTCGCCACACCCGTAGAACATAAAGAAGTCTGTGTTGTTCGGTGACAATCGAGGTTTAACCACGTGGATTAGCTTTAAGGACTCATGTTGCTGATGAAATTATTTTTGAACTAAATTTTCTATTTGCCTCACCAACGTGCATAAGCGTTCCCAAGTAAGCTTGCTTTCGTGTTCCGACAGTAAGCGTTCTTGGACCTTGTTATTGCGAATGTCAATCACTAGATATCGGATAGCCATGATCTCTTCAACATTCGTGGGCGGAAGTTATTTATATCGGCAAGCAGACAGGAACTGTGGTATGCGGGTTTTACTTTCGTCAAACGCTTCTTCTTCCTGCCGTAGTATGGACAGATTCAGTCGTACAGTAAACAGATGTTGCTGTTGGACACAACGACCAACCATTGGGTTCCGACAGTATGACAGAGAAGCGGTTTCATACAACCGTAGAGCATCGAAATGCCTCTGACCCTCTGCATCCAGGTATTGTCTCAACAGTTTACTATCCAGATGTTCAATATTAGTGGAATAAGGATTTGGAATTCCGAGTAGTCCAAGATAGTCACAGAACGTTCTCTTCCACCGATTCCAAACTACAGGGACAGGTTTGCAATCCGCTTCTTACAAACACGGATCAGATGGAATAAAGTGACTTCTAACGAATAACTCCAGGCATAGAACCTGTCGCCGATGTTATAGTCTGCAAGTAGGAAACAAGTGCAAGCCTGAGAACGCAGGATTGACTCGTAGCCCAAGGACGCAAACATAACGTAGTACATTGGGCTGGTAGCACGCAACGTGTGTTCTGGCAACTACGTGTACAGCGCATCGGTCAAGTAGCTGACGGCAAGATACTGGTGAGTGGTTAATCGATAGACAGACATACACGCGCACATGTAGGGACAGTTAATGCTGAGGGTGAACATCCGGCTAGTGATAGTGACTCAAATGTCACATAGGCTACGCGGAATGGTATGCGAATCAGCAAGGGCGAGGAACGTGTTGCGCGGGTCTCACCAGAGGAAAATGCGCAAGCGGATGAACCGTCAGTAACACAGATGGACGCTGAGTATTTCCAAACAACAATTAAAGCCAAGGTTGTAAATTACTGAAAGAATATGTTTTCAGTACCAAGGCGCTACGCGGAACGTCCCAGCCCGTGGGGCTAGCTGTTGACCTCTGCACAGTTCGTAACTGGTGTGTAAGTAGAAGATGAGCCGGACTATATCACAGTCAACTGTCAATCATGTAGGTCCGCAGCTGGCACCCATGGCGAAGTGTCACTAGCTGCTGGCATCCGGAAGTCATGGAGCGGAACCCGGCAGGGGTCCGCTGTGAGGCGCACCACTGACGAGACCCGGAAGCTCGAAACACCGGTCTCTGGTGCTTTCGCAGACTAGCCAATGTCTGCTAACTGAGAGTGTACAGGTATGAACTATCTCTAGTCTTACCAACTCCCCACTACTCACTAATAATATGTTTTCAGTCGCATTACAACCTTTTCCGACCATACACATGTACAGTATTGGTCAAATTATTGGACATTTTTCAAGCAGCAACTTTTTTCATCTTTCATCACATATCTCGTAAGAAGCAAATGATGTAACTGTAAAATGGTTATATTTACCAAGGATAACATATATCGAATAGAAAATCATTAAGGTTTGCATTTCGTAAATGATACTTTGGCAATTTTCAATGAGTTAACACACAAAGGCATAGTATGTGAGATTTTTGTAAATGATAACAAATGGGTTGATGTGACTTGTACGGTAGTTATGTAAACGGATGGTTAGATTCTTAGCATACTTCGTTATTTACAGCTGTAGCCTACATTTCAGGATTACATTTGTCTGGTTTTGGATCAATTTATAGGTATGTTTAATTCCTTTTTTGTTATTTTTCAAGGTGTCTTCTCAAGTGACGACACAACCGTATGGATCGCCAGGTTTTAGTTGGTGTTGGCATATTAATAGGTAAATTACGTGACCTAACCCCTCAAAAGCGTGCACAAATTGAACTTTTGTTGCAAGAAGATGTTACAAGAGCAGAAATTGCAACCAAGATTGGTGTCAGCACAGCGTCTGTATGTCGATTTCGAAAGAAGTTGCAAAAGAATTTCCCCTGTCCCCTAAACGCTCCGGTAAACGTGGTCGCAGAAGAGAAACAACAGCTCGAGACGACTCACTTCTAGTAAGAGAATGCCTAAGGAATCGCAAAGCATCTAGCAGACAGCTACAAGGGATGATGGAACAGCATAGTGTTGCAGTTAGTTCGAGAACTGTAAGAAGACGACCTTTGGATTCTGAACTTCGAGCTTGCAGGCCTCTGAATAAGCAAAAGTTGACCAAACAAATGAAAGAAAAACGACAGAAATGGGCCAAATATCTTCAAAAATGGTCCAGAAGAAGACTGAGAGCGGGTAAGAAGCGGAAGTTTTATTTTCATAAGGATTTTCCAGAAACATTGTGTCTACATTACTTTTGTTGTGTTTTCTGCGTTTTTCTGTGTTTCATTTTAGTTGGTTTTCAGCGGTGAGTGCATCATCCGCTGCTCTGACCAGCAATCTCTATTTGACCGCCGATTACCTGGTGAACAGATGAGGGAAGACTGCATCATTCAACGAGTCAAACATCCCACTCAGCTCATGATATGAAGCTCTATGAGCATCTACCGAACTGGTCGGCTCTCCATCCTCCAGGGTAACATGAACCAGCAGCAGTACAAAGAACTACTGGAGCACCAACTGATCACTCAGCTGTGTGAATTGTCAAAGGAAAAAGGATTTACAGGGACAGGAGACTTCATTTTCATGCATGACAGTGCTCCATGTCACAAGGGGCGTGAAGTCACCCGTTTTCTTGTGGGTTGTGGTATAGAAGTGTTACCATGGCCTGGTAATAGCCCTAACATGGATCCAACAGAAAATTTGTGAACAATTCTAAAGTCAGAGATGAAGAAAAAATTATTACAAACAAGCTACTGCTCATTGAACAAATTGTAGCGACCTGGGCTCGCAGTGAAAGCACGACTGAACTTTGCAAAAAACTCATTCACTCCATGACTTTGCGTGTTAACTCCTTGAAAATTACCAGTATCATTTGCGAAATACAATATTCGATATATGTTATTCTTGATAAATATAACCATTTTACAGTTACATCATTTGATACTTACGAGATAGGTGATGAAATATAAAAACAATTTGCTGAGGGAAAAATATTCTAATAATTTGCTCAATACTGTATATGTAGTACGTATATGTATATATAACCTTTACCGACCATAGACATGTATTTTGCTCGTAGAATACGTTACTGATTCCCTGCACGAGGTCCAGTATCAGTCAATTTTCAATTTCAGCTCAGGCACACATTTCGCTCCCATGTAAGCCGTTCTCTTTGCTCGTATTAGTTATTTCAAGTAGAGTAATCTTCTCGCAACAGTGAGCCTTTTCCAATGTTGTTAGCCCGGTGTGCCCCATGTTCCCACTGAGGCTATTTTTTACGGGGATCTGTTCCTGTTGTTCCCACCGAACTTTTTATAACCTTGAAGTTACCAGAAAAAGTATGTTTACTTGAGACCACACGTGGAATATGCGTCTCAGGCCTAGCGGCCCTGGCGCAAACGTGACCTCGATGCATTTGAAGCTCCCCAACGTAGAGCGACCAAACTCGTTAAAGGATTGTTCCATCTCTTCTAGCAACGCAGACTGCAGTCCCTGTGATTGTAAAGTGGTGAATGTTGACGTCAGCCAGGAGACCTAATAATGGTTTACTTAATACTGACGAACCCAACTCCCTCATGTCAAAATCTTCTGCAGCTGAGCCAAGATACCAACCTGAGAGGCCATCAGCTCAAACTGGCTACACACTACAGTTGACTTGATTGTCGACGAAACGTTTTCTCCCTCCGTGTGTCCCGTGCCTGGAATGCCCTTCCGACTCAAGTTATTCTTGCCCCTACATTAACTCGTTTCAGAAAACGTCATGTTGAAATGCTTTCAAACTTGCATTACTTGATATAGTCCATTCCACTTGGAGGACGAAATAACGCAAGCCTAACCATGTGCTTAACGGTCCTCTCTGCAACGTGGCGGTGAGCATACATAGAGAAACGTCCATGTGAGTAGCCTGGATGTATCAAAACTGGATTAACATACCACACCTGTCAAATGAAGAAACAAACGAATGAGCGTTGTCGTTTCCAATTTTATTTCTCACGCACTGAACTGTAACAGCTCGCCATATTATTTTGCGTGGGCACATCCCATTCCCACTTCAAACTTTCGTTATGCAGTAGTGCATTTAACTCGGTGGACGCTTAAAATAACGATTTACTTATTCGATGATCCTTCTCATGTTAATTTTTACTCCAACCATGCTACGGGACTTGTCAAGCACATGCTTTATAACCCGTGATAAATCATTGTTCATCATTGTTCATATGGGAGCGTGCACAGTACCAAAGAGCTGTCCGTACACCGTGGGAGCGCATGACGTGTCCCTCTACTGTCCCTCTACTGTTGTTCCCAACATATGTGTATCCAACTCACCTATAAGCGTGACTTACAATCGCAGACGGAAGTGTATGATTTGGATCGATAAACGCAGAAAGCGATAAGGCGGATGTACATAGGACACTTTCCGAAGGAGTTCAGCCGATTCGACTTGAATATTTCTTTCCATTGTTTTTATTCCAAACCAATGAAAGGCGGAAAAGTTTACTTTCTTATCATAACTCAAATGTCGTGTACACAAGAACAAGAAATGCATGGTTCAACGCCAGTTAGTAGAGAAACAGACCAGCACAGCTCATCAAATGCGCAAATTGACATCCTCCTTGATCGAACCGCTGGTCCTGAAAGGACGGACAGATTGTAACTCAGTGGATGGATCTTTGAGCACCATTCCGAGGCGCCTACCACGCTTTCGACGCTGCGCCGGAATCGTATGTGTCAAGTGTTGTTGTATGCTGTCAAAGTCCACGATCATACGAAACAAATAGTGTGCTTCAGTTCGGTCCATTTGCGATAGGTCGATGGATATGTACAATTCATTTGTCTAACAGAAAAAAAACCCAGAAAACAGTGATTAATTGGACTGACAGACAATTCTGGGTGAGCTGCAGTAGCATATACTCTAATTTTTGCATCCTGAGTTCAACCAAATTTGTGGCAAGAGACGGCTTATGATGAAAATGGGGGCTTTCCTTGTTCGAATTGCGTATCCTATTGGCTTCATCCTATAGAATCTTCCGTGCAGTCACAATTGTGTGCTCGAATGCAGAACCGTAACTAAGTAAAACAGACAAACGTATGGAGACTGGGAACACGTGACAGCGCTTTCAGCAACTAAGACCATGCACCCGAAACGTGATAGCCAATTGGAAGCAAACACATATATTCTTTCAATGACCGCTAAGTGAGTGTATTGAGTCATGAGGAATCGAGGGCAATGACAACTCCAATTACCTGTGTAATGCGTAATGTGTTAACACCCAGTCACTTGTTTACGTGTGTTCATGACAAAACCGAAGGTGGGGCTTAACAGACCGAATAACGATCACAAGGCTATCCCCGCTACAGCTATCCTCCTGTAGTGGTGAGATCTTGCTTTATTGCCCACTTCGATTAACGACTTTCGCGGTTACGGGCCAACTCATCAGTTGTGCGAGTGTATGCCTCACGTGTAACTACACCCGGCAACTTCCATAAGCTTATAAATGTGACGTTTTACATGCAGTTGGCCGCAGCCGTCCATGTTTGTAGCTTGACTTGGGGATTAATAACCGATGGTGAAACGATATATAACGACTAGCAGAAGGTTGTGTCAGTATCGGCCGGATATAAGTCCTCTCAATCCTCTAAGTATTGTGCCAATTAGAGAACTCTAGCAAATATGTAGTGGTTTGGGATATCTAGCCATGGGCGAAACAAACCTTCAAAATTGCTCGCTGATGATTTTTGACGGAGTTGAAAACCAGTATTGCACTATATCAGGGTTCCCTCTACTAACCACGTAATGCACTCTGTAAAGCTCGGCGTTAAACGTTGAGTCTCCCTCCCCATCTCGGGTGCTTCCGAGGGAGTTCCCGCTTTCAAGCACAGTCGATTGGTGTACGCGGCAGCCATGTTTCAATAGTGGATGTTCGCGTCTTCCATGTACGTTCTGAACCCTCCACACTGCTAGTTGGAATATGTGGTGAGTCAAAGGCGATACGTTGAGCACCAGGATTGGCCTAAATCAGACAACCAGCAAACCACTGAGAAAGCGTCAAACGTCTACTTTGTTTAATTCGTGTTCATCAAATTTGCGCTTCGCCCAGTCTCGTATGTTTCGGCTCAGACCTCTCCAACTCATAAGCCAATGATAGGCATTGGATGACCGTGACAAATTTGTATATGCATTACTCATTGTGATGCAGAACTGTTGCAACTTTACTCTTCTGTGGCTATGATGTTTTCAGTTTCCCACCAGGAGATACAAACTACCCATACACTCGATGATCGTACATCACGGTGCGACAACGCAGATGATCTGTTCTGCCATCATGTGCATCACAAAATCTAGTCACCAGGGCTTTCTTAGAAGTGACGTAAAGGTGGTGTATGCACCTGCTCCAGGAGCACTTAAAAGATACGGCCACATTTGATCGGTAGTTTTGTTGATTAACAGAAGGCAGGCGTTACAACAGCCGATAGCGAGAAGGAGATCTCACTTGGCCGCCTCCATAGTCCGCAAAGCGCTTGCATAAGGGCTCTTTGCTTGTACAACGCCGGCTGCATCACTCTGATGGCAATAGCCTCAGTCGTCCTCAGGAGACATTTTCTATGCATTTTGGGGTCCCTACTGGGCACAGTGTGGAAGGCTGTGAATGAGTCAGCTAGTCTGATTTCGTGTCCAATTTTGTAAGTGTTCCATGATGGCACTACTAAATCTTTCAAGCATGCCCCTTGTTAGCGACCTCGGGCAATGCGCAACCATTCATTTTGATAAAGGTCTGATTATAGTTCCAAAATATCTTGCATCAAAGGTGCAAGTGGATTCATATAGAACATATGACTTGGATTGAACCGGGCGTTTGTCTTTTAGGCGTTGGATGATAACCGGGATGGTCTGTGCCACAACACTTGGGTACGCTGCTGGCTAGGATTTGGCTACTTCAGTCAAAAGTTTGCTGTTCAGCAAATAGTAGACGACATCACTTTTGAACGGCATGGTGAGAAAGGCATCCTTTTAGGAACAGTGATGACAGTTTTCGGACGCATACAGACAGTGGCATGCTGCTTGATGAAAGGAATTGGGTAACCATACTCTTCCAGCGTTGCAAGGATGAGAACATTCCCTCTTTCCAGTGTCTCCGGGCTACAAATTTCGACAGCACGATGATGCAGACAACGAACTAAGTTCCTCTCCTATTTCAAAGGTACGAAGCTTAGAAACTTGATGAGCCAGGTTTGGCAACTGTCCAAATGGGTTGGACGGACGGCTGCATTATAGACTCTGTCGTTCAGAGCGAGAATAATGTCACGTTGCCGCCGCAGGTGCCAGGGATGGGCAAAAATGTCTACAGTTTCGTCATGCGATTCGTGACCTCACTCTCCAATCCACTGGGCAAAAATATAGCTGCCTAGGTATTTAAATGTCTGAAACGACTTGTAGCTAATCACCACCAAGCGTCAGAGCAGCGGTGGGTCCTTGCCTATCTTAGAGAACGACTTTGCAATTCAATGTTGGAAAGCGTAGCCCAAGAAGATTGACAGCCAGTGCTAAGCTGTTTAGTACTGCTTGGCATTTTTGAGAGGTGTCACGGATTGGAGCAAAGTATCATACTATTCCAAGTCAAGAAGTCGCTCACCAGTAAGCTGCTCCACACTTTGTAAGTCGTGTCCAGCGAATGCCGTTTCCTTAACTTCGTCAATCGTGAAGTTAAATAGGAAAGGGTACCGCGAGAAACCTGGTCCCACCCCGTCGGAAGTATTAAAGAGCGGCGACAGTCTGCCATAAAACTTCGCTCTGCCCAAACTATATGAGTCCAGTACTTTTATAACGTTTACATATTTATCGGGAACATTTTTTCTTGAACAGACAGTCCAAAAGTGCAATGGACTCACCGAATCGAAGGCAAACTTTGACATCGAGGAACACTTCAACGGTGAGTCACCAACCAGATGCCTGTGTTCCTACATCTACCGTTATGTAAACATGTGATCAGTGTGGCCTCGATTTCGAGGAAACCCGGTTTGCTCCTCGCAAATCTGGATTTCAGGAATACCAGGCAGCCTGTGAAAACAGGACATATGCAGATAGCGTGGCGGTAATTTATATCAGGTATACTCCTCTAGGTTGCCGCATCCCGAACGTGCGCACCCCTTGAAAAATGAGGCTATGACGGAGCGGCTCCAGTCTTCTGGGATAGTTTCTTGCTCCCACAGCCACACAAGTAGTTTACACAAATTATTGAGTGCTGGCCTCCCGAATTTGAAATAGGGCTGGAGGTATTTCATCTGCTCTTGCGGCTTTATTCAACTTCAACGGTCTGCTCTCAAGTTCGACTTCCGCGCGTAAGGGCGGATCCAAAGAGACGGTCCGTGACAATGTTTTTTATTAATTTAAAAGTTACCCAATAAACATTTGGCCACTTACCACAACACACGATTAGCAATAACAAAAAGGAAGAAGAAGACTCAGGGGAAGGGATGCAAAGTCCCATGTGCCATGTGGACAGAGAGCATCCGGGTCGTCCAGACCGAGGAAGTGGATTGAAATAAGGGGCCCCACCCCAAGCCTTCGCTTATAAAGACCTGATCCGAAAGGCAGTGCGAGGATTCACGAAGCCCGTTGACAGCCAGGTGGCTCATTAACCTTCTTGGTGTTCAGAAGCAGTCCACAGAAAAGCTCATAAGGGAGCGAATTCAATGGCCGATAGACAATTTGGAAACTCAGGTTGATTAAGCTGTTTTGCAAAATTTTCGGTTTAGGGATCCAAGGGTTCTGACAAGTTATAGATTGCCTGTCCACTCTGGTCGCGTATGGTCTCAAAAACACCAGCTATTCTGGTACCTACAGCCTGTCCAAAAACTCCGGTCCCTTTACTCTGTTAATACGGGACAAAAAGTCCCTCCTTCGGGTGTAAGTTAGAGCGTACTGAATTGCCGACTGTCTAATGGTAAATGTTGGTCAACCACAAAACATCTCAACCGGTCACATGGGGGTAGAAATACCGTACGCATGCAGGTGGGTACATGTGTACTTGCCAGTCTCGTCCATCGTGAACACGCTGGATCATGCGCGGATGGTTGAGTTGGAGTCAATCTACGGCACGCCACAAGGCAAGTTCACCGATCGATACATACGGTGTGTCGGGTTGGTTGGCACTGAGACAGGTGTGCAAAATCGAAACAGCAGTGCTTCATTACCGAGCTACTGCGGTAGAATCGTGGTTGCGGTTCGACACTACGCACGCACGTCCGTACCCAGAAGTAATTAAACAATGGAGGGCGGATGAATAATCCTGCTGGCCACCGGCTTCTTTGCGGACTGCTACCGAAAAATAAGAACAGGAATAAGCAACTTGGCTGTTAATGGCCTTCGCAGTCGCGGCCAGTTGGACCTTCCAACATCAGGAGTTCAGTGCCCTGCTACGTTACAAGTTGGAAAGTTAAGTGAAAGTGAAAGTAAAGTGATGATATCCCCTCACTCAACTCTCTTCCTCGACCTGGGACAAACGGGAAGTGTGAGAGAAGTTGTTACGATTAGCGATCCATCAGTATCGCCGGAAGTCAGAATGAGAGCGCCAGTATCAAGACTACAGATCGCAAATTACCTGCCAGAGAGCATAGAACAATTAGCACATGAACACCAAGAGACGGTCTGCGGAGGCAATCGACATCGCTGTCGTGAACGGATTGTGGTTGGATGGACGACCCGGAATAAAGGAACGAGTACCAATGCATGCAAACTGATAGCCAACACGGAAGCTAGTGAGAAGGGACACAAGAAATAGTAATATGTTGTACAAAATGGATCATAGTTCAGCAATAAAGATCTTCGTGTTGCTG